AATGCAGTACTCCACAGAACTGTCCTTCAGAAATGATGGAGAGATGTGATCTCTCTCAGGTACCCGTCTTAAAAAGATACAATAAAGGAAGGTTTTTCAGGCTGAAAGAAAAGGATTCTAATTAGGAACATGAAAATATGTAGAACCTGCAAGATGGCTCCCCCTGCAAGCACTGGGATCCTATATGGGTGCCGGGTTGTCGCCCTGTTGCTGTACTTCCAATCTGGCTCCCTGTTTGTGGCCTGGGAAAGCAGTTCAGGACGGCTGAAAGCCTTGGGATCCTGTACCTGTGTGGGAGACCCGGAAGAGGCTCCTGAGTCCTGGCTTCGGATCGGCTCGGCTCCAGCCATTGCAGCCATTTGGAGAGTAAATCTTCTGTCTGTAAATTTCCCTTTCCAATTAAAAAAAAATTAAACATGAAAGTATAAAACTCACAAAATAAGTACACATTGATATTTAGACTGCTGTCATATGTATACCATTTATATCTTTAGTATGAAAGTTAAAAGACAACTATTAAAAATAACATTTGCAATGATTTGTTGAAGGATAGTTTATTAGGACCCAACTCAGCGGTCTAGTAGCTAAAGTCCTTGCCTTGAATGCACCAGGATCCCATATCGGCACTGGTTCTAATCCCGGCAAGCCCTGCTTCCCATGCAGCTCCCTGTTTGTGGCCCGGAACCTTGGCACCCTGCACCCACGTGGGAGACCTGGAAGAGGCTCCTGGCTCCTGGCATCGGATCAGCTTGGCTCTGGTCATTGCACTCACTTGGAGAGTGAATCAATGGACGGAAGATCTTCCTCTCTGCCTCTCCTCTTGTCTGTATATCTGACTTTCCAATACAAATAACCAAATCTTAAAAAAGGCTAGTTTATTAATGTATAGGTTTCCTGATAAAAGAACTAGTATCAGTCTCTCTCAAAGTCTTAGAGAATATTGAACAAGAAGGAATACTTCTAAATTCCTTTTACAAGGCAACCATTACTCTTACATCAAAATCAGAGAAAGGACAGTGCAAGAAAAGAAATTCCTTGGCCAATATCCCTGATATATGTAAAACCATTTCTGTGTAGGCATGTCAAACTAAAGTCAGCAGCACAATGAAAGGATCTTTCCACTGTACATGGTCAAGTGGGGCTTATCCCAGGGACGCATAGATGGTTCTGCATGTACAATCCATCAATACGTTAACGGACTGAAGGACAAAAGCTGATCATCTCAGTAGAAGTGAAAAGTTACATGACAAAATCAAATATGATTTCACAACAGAAGCTGTAAACATGTTGGGAACAGAAGGAATGCGCCTGATCATAGAAAATGCCATATATGAAAGGCCAGAGCTAACTTAGGCTGCAAGGAGGAACAGCTAGCTGGAAGCCTTTACTCCGGGTCCAGGAAAAAGACACACTTGCCAGTGTTACTCCGTGTTAATATTGGAGATCCTACTAGGACAGTTAGGCACCAGAAAGAAACAGAGGCATCCAAAGAAGTTAAAGTTTCCCCATTTGCAGAAAATCTCTTGTTTTAGGCTGTAAAATACACTACAGAAAAGACCGTTAAATGTGAATTCAGTGAAGTTGCAGAATATAAAATCAACATAAAAATCAGTGGCAATTTCATATACTGACAATGAACTGTCTGAAAAAGAGATTAGGTGAGCACTCCTTTCTCTAACAGACACCAGGAAAGTTTAATACTTGGAAATCAGTTCACCTCAGAATGGAAACACTTGTACACTGAAAAGTATAAAACATTGATGGAGAGAATCGAAGAAAACATAAATGAAAATATCTACTATGTTCAGAACAACAATTAATATTGGAGGAATCCTAGAACCTATGAAACTGTCATAAAATGAAATAATAATAATAAACAATATTATTATCATGTCCATAGTGGCTAATTAATCTGCAGATTCATTGTTGTCCCTATGAAAATTTCAATGACTTTTTTCATAGAAAAAAAATGCCCCAAAATTCATATGGTAGCAGAGATCCCAAAGCTTAAACAAAAAGAGTAAAGATTGAGGCATTATACCACCTGACTTTGAGATATATTACATAGTCCTTATCTCACTTCATGTACAGAAAAATCAAGTAGCAGTTAATTTCAGGCTTAATTGAGTCTGAAACAGTGAACTTCTAGAAGAAAACACAGGGGAAAGCTTCACCACTTTGAGCTGGGTAAACATTTTTGGAGATGACTGCAAGAGCACAGGCAATGAAGCTGAACATAGGCAGTGAGATTACGTTAAGTGGCAAAGCTTACAAACCACATGCTGCAGAGTAAAGATGCTGCCGCCTGAGTGGGACAGATGGCTCGTAAAGCATGTATCTGACAAGGAGTCCCCAGCTGTTCTGTAGTTAGCCTGTTCATCTCAGTCCTTGTGTTTGCCAAATCTGAGCTTTTGACTTAGTAGACCTGGGCTAGGACCTAAGAATTTGTATTTCTAGCATGTTCCCAGGAAATACTGATGCTGCTGAGCAGGGACCCCGCTTTGAGAACCGTTGCACTGGCATGTGACCTGCAGTGGAGGCAGTGGTTGGTAAAGTATTTCTTACTTTTGTGACGTCATCACCCAGAAGAATTTCAGGAATATGGTATACATTCTTTAGGTGTTTTTGAAGAGGCAACTGTTCACTAAATCTGTGTTGTTAGATAAGAGCCCAAGCATGGTAATAGGCTAACACCTCAGTCAAAAGCGTGGGGATGGCTACTCTGTAAAAATAGGATCTATTTGAAACACTTACTTTATGTTGTGGTTGTCTAAGGAGAAGCAAAAACAGGCTAGCGTTTGTTTTGACTTTTAAAAAATAACTATTTAAATGAAGTTCACTCATTTAAAGTATGTAATTTAGTCTTCTTTAGTGTATGCAGTTTTGTGCAAGCATCACCCCACAGTTTAGAACATTTCACCATCTAGAGCTTTGTAATTAACAGTCACTTTCCATTTCCCCCCAAGCTGATAGCCTGAGCCAACCATAACAGTACTTTTTCCACACCCCCCTTTTTGTAACAGATAGCAAACCATATACAAAAGAGTACTTAAAAAAAAGACAACAGAGAGATTGATTGATCGATTGCTCAATTGTATGTTGTGCGTGTGTGTGACTCTCATATGTTGATTCAGTTCACAGATGCCCACAACATTTGGGGCAGGGCCAGAATGAAGCTAGGAGCTGAGAATTCAACAGGTTTTCTATATAGGTGGCAGGGAAACAACCACTCGAGCTGCCTCAGGGACTGACTTGGTGGGAAGCTGGGATCTGGAGCCAGAGGTGGATTGGAATTGAATCCAGGCTCTCTGATATGTGATGTGGACACCCTACATGGAACCTTACCTGCTAGGTCATACACCAGGCTCTGTTTCTCTTTGTAAATTTGCCTATTTCGGACAGTTAATAATGCATAGAATTACGCAGTAATGTGGTCTTTGTAACTCTTCACTTGGCATGATGCAGCTTGTGTTGATCCTTCAGTCATTTTTTTTAAACTCTAAATGATATTTGTTGTGTGACTATGTATTATAGTTCTGTTCACATTTGTTTAAGCATCAATCGAGCAGCATTTATTTGGAGTCAGTGAAGTTATTTCCACCTAACTGATTTTTATTAATGATCCTGCAATGAGCATGCATATATAAGGTTCCTGCAATGTTTTCATTTCATGTGAATATATATGCAGGAGGAGAGTTTTGAGGCATGTGGCCATTTTATGTCTAGTTTTATTTTTTAAGATTTTATTTATTTGAAAGGCAGAATTACAGAGAGATTGACAAGGGAAGAGAGAATGAGTTCTTATATCCACTGATTTCATTCACCAAATGGCCACAAAAGCTGGAGCTGGAGCAAGCTGAAGCCAGGAGCCAGGAGCTTCCTCTGGGTCTCCCATGCACTTGAGTCATCTTCCACTGCTTTCCATGGCATGTAAACAGGGAGCTGGGTCAGAAATGGAGTGGCTGGGACAAAAAACGGTGCCCACGTGAGATGCTGGTGCTGCAGGTAGCAGCTTAACACCCTGAACCACAGTGTGGGTTTTGTGTGTCTACACACAGAAGGATCTTCTCTTTACCAAAGTATACTATGTTACACATTTTTATCAGCAGAGGAATGAGGATTCTAATTCCTCCATGATTTCTCTGGTACTTGTTACTTTTGATCTTTATTGTGTCTAATACTATGTGAAATACCATGTCACCATGAGTTTGAGTTGCATTTCCCTGATGGCCAATGATCATGGCATTCAGTGTGCTTTTGATCAAATGTATGTTCTTGTAGAAAAGGCCATTCAGATCCTTTGAGGCCTATCCTTTTATTGCCCTTATTGGTTAAGGAGGAGAGGAAAATTTGGCAAACTGTCCAGTTAAATCCAGCATGCTGCACTCTTGGATTGCTGAACAGTTGCTAGAGTCATCTTGTTTGCAAAGGCAGGTGTCCCTCCCATGCATGGGGTCCTCTGCTCAGATGTCTCCTTCCCAGAGGACTTTCTTGATAGTCCCAAGGAGACACACACTGTCCCCTCTCTTTCCTTTCTCACTCTGTTGTGATTTTCTTCAATGTAATTCCCTGAAGGATATCATTGGGTTTTGCTGACTTGCAATCTCCCCCTGTTGGATACAAGCTGAATACGAGTAGGGCCTTGTTCTGCTCACTTGTTGCACTCGTCATGCAAATCCTGCCTTATGAAACCGACTGAGGAGGCTCTGGAGTCGACCACTCAATGACTGAGGGATCTTGGATCAGTTATTTTACTTTTCTGTTTTAACGTTTTCATCTGTATAATCATGATGGGTGGCTGTGAGGATTAAATTAACTTGTTTGTATAAAACATTGAATTCCAAACACTAGCCTAAAGAAGGAAAAGACTAGCTGTTTCATCTGTTTCCTTGCCTTGGATATGTTACATGGGAGTAGTAACAACTTGTTTTTAAGGAGTATGTGCTTACCTTTTAATGGATTCAAATGAACCATAATTTGTTGTGTTTTTCTTTTTCCAGGGCATGCAGAGAGCAACTAATGTCACTTATCAAGCCCATCATGTCAGCAGGAATAAGAGAGGCCAGGTGGTGGGGACCAGAGGTGGCTTTCGTGGTTGCACAGTGTGGCTAACAGGTATGACCCAGAAAGAGAAGTCGGTGTATCTTCAGGAAGCTGAAATAGATCATCTTAGACTAGGAGGATGCATCTTCAAAGTTTGAGCTCTGTTTTTGTACTCTTGATCTAGTCAAAAGGATAAGAAGCCAGGAGCCCAGAACTCCAACCACATCCCTGGGCCAACCTCTGCTGTACTCTGGCACATTAGAGAGCTGTGTTGGAAGTAGAATTGCTGATCTTTTTTTTTTTTAAAAGATTTATTTATTTTTAATTACAAAGTCAGATATACAGAGAGGAGGAGAGACAGAGGGGAAGATCCTCTGTCCATTGATTCACTCCTCAAGTGAGCACAACTGCCGATGCTATGCCGAAGCCAGGATCCAGGAACTTCCTTCCAGGTTTCCCACGTGGGTGCAGGGTGCCAAGGCTTTGGGCCATCCTTGACTGCTTTCGCAGGCCACAAACAGGGAGCTGAATGGGAAGTAGGGCTGCCGGGATTAGAAGCAGTGCCGATATGGGATCCTGGTGCATTCAAGGCGAGGACTTTAGCTACTAGGCCATGGCGCCGGGCCCAGAGTTGCTGATCTTGTACTGGTGCTCTGACGTGGGATACGGGTGTCCCAAGTGGTCTCTTGACTGGCTGTGTGCCATAGCGATGGGTCAAGCCAGCCCCTTCTTAGGGGCCCAAGAACAATTGTAGACTTCTGTCTGTTTAGCTTATTATTTATCATTGCTATGGTAGTAAAGTGACTCTGGAGTTTATTACATGTGGATCTGCAAAGCTTACAGTAAGTTTTTCTAAGCGAGCATTGGAGAAGAATGTGTATTACCCTGGTAGGTGCAATGTTCTTACATATGTGTGCTTGTTAGACTGGGCTAGTTAACCATGCTGTGCAGTCATCCATGACCTTTATTAGTTCTGGATGATATTCTTGGATGAAAACCAAGATGCCTTGTTCTTAACAGTTCAGTTGATCACTTGAGGTCTGCCCAAGGCATTAGTGATGTGTATCATTTCCCAGTTGTGTTTGGCATATTCGTTTCCCAGGGTTGCTGTAACAAGTGCACATAAACAAGATGACTTCAAATGACAGAAATTGATCATCTTGAGACTAGAAATCCAAAGTCATGTATTCTGCAGGACTGGTTTCTCCCATAAGCTCTGAGGGATAATCTGTTCCTGTCCTCTCTCCTAGCAGTGTTTTCTCTGCCTACTGTAGACATGCCTTCTCTCCAGTGTCTGCTTTCGTCTATATGGCCACCTTATAAGGCCACCATTACTCTTCCAGAGTGACCACTTCCTCATTTAGATTTGATTGCCCCCACAAAGAATGATTCCAGTTAGGATCACTTTGTAAAGTTGCAGGTGGCCATGAATACTTAAGATGCTGTTTATCCTGGTACAGTGGTGGCTCTTCTTCAGGTATACCAGTTATCTTTAGCTTAGTTTTGCATTATCTCTCTTGCATTACTTGTTAATCTCCTCTGCTTGCTTTAATTTCTTTGCCTCTTTTTCTATTTTCAGTGTCACCCCAAGGAAGCTTTCTCAGTACTTCAGTGTTCAACATTTGTTGAATCTTTGTTTCCAAGTACATAATTATACAAAATATGTAAATACATAGTTATACACAGATAAATTTGTTGTGATTTTAAGTTGCTTTTGCTGTATAACAAATTGAGGTTTTCAGGTTTAAGTTTTTTTTCCCCCTCTGAAACATGTTACCCAGCTGGTAGTTAAAAATGGAAATAAAAAAGCAGAACAGCTCACCCCTCTTCAGCCAGGTGCTGTTTCTGAACAACTTTGTGGTGTAAAGCAACCACTTCAGCTTATTTACCATTCTGAGGGCAGGGATTAATTAAAGAGTGCCAGTTTAAGCTCTTGCTGTGTTGGCATTCTGCTGGCATGGCTGTAGTCCTGTGAAGGCTCAGCTAAGCTGAGATTTCCGGTGGCTGCCTCTGTTGACAATGTCTGTCTCTTGGCTGGGAGCCTTGTTAGCAGAGACCATTAACCAGGACACCTGTGCAACCTCTCTGACACGATGTTCTCCATGTCTATACCAGCTGGCTTCTCCCAAATCAAGTGATCAGAGAGAAACTTGTTATCTCACTACATTCTCTGGGCTACTGGCGAGTCATAAGGCCCACTCAGACTCAAGGGTAGAAATTCGATCATCCCTCTTTGTTTTCTTTTTCTTTGAAAAGCAAATTTACAGAAAGAACAGATTGAAAGAGATTGGTTGAGTGATTCATCTTCCATCTTCTGGTTCACTCCCCAAATGGCCTCAATACCTGAAGCTGAGCCAATCCAAAACCTGGGGACAGGAGGTTCTCCCATCCAAGTACTCACCAGGCCCGCCCCTGCTTAGCTTCCGAGATCAGACGAGATTGGGTGTGTTCAGGTTGGTATGGCTATAGATGCAACAGGAGGTTCTTGTGGTTCTCCCATGTGGACACAGAGGCACAAGGACTTGGGTCATCTCCAAGCAGGGAGCTGAAACCGAAGTAGACCAGTCAGGACATGAATCAGAGCCCATATGTGCTGCTGGCACTGCAGGGGAAACATTAGCTTACTTATCACTTTTTTAAAGGCTTATTTATGTATTTGAAAAACAGAGTTACAGAGAGATGGGGAGAGAAAGATCTTCCACCCATTGATTCATTTCCCAAGTGGCCGTGATGGCCAGTACTGGAGTGAGGAACCTTATCTAGATCTCCATATGGGTCCAGGGGTCAGAATCTACAGCTTTCCAGGTGCATTAGCAGGGAACTGGATTGCAAGTGGAGCAGCCTGGGTTGAAAATAGTGCCCATGTGGAATGCCGGCATTACACACAGCAGTTTAAATTTCTGCATTCCAGCATTGAGCTCTAGATTGTAACTAGGATGTGAGTTCAATGTCATTAGCTCATAGGAGAGGTGTTCTATTGTAGCTATCTTTGGAAAATACAACATCTATGCTTACTAATTTAGGTTTTTAATGTATAAAGCAGCAAATGTTAAACTGATGTTGTCATATAACATGTCATCCTGTCTTCTGTTTCCTTTCCACATAGCCTTCTGTGCTGCCATCACTTTTTTCTCGCAAGAACTTCAATATTTTGTCTTTTTGACCATTTAGTGAGATATTCTATAATTGTGCATTCACCATCATGGCAAGTATTAGTACATACATGTACCCTTACCCTCCCTTTCTGGTTATTTAGTGAATGTAAATATCAGTGGTGGAGCAAGGTGAGTAAAGAGTGTTCATTAGGGTTAAGCGATATTATAAATTGGACTTCCAGGCATTTTTGTCACAGTGGTTTATGTATATCTGGAATACCAAGGTACCTTTGTAAGGTTTAACCTACTTTTGTCGTTTCCTGTTCTTCCCTGTTGGGAAGAATTTGGGAATATAACTTTGTCTTAAGATTTGTCAAAGATCTCTAGAATATGGTTTTGCGAAGGCAATGCGATTATCCCCTCAAGCACTTCTGATTCTAAACTAGTTATGTTCTTTTGATTTATGACTTCAGGGATACTATAAGGCATACCTAAAGTTATTAAAAACGAGGGCTGTTTTAAGCAATTTAGACATTCTCCTAGGTGAGAGATAAAGTCTTATAGAGAAATGTTGAATAAGAATGTTACTCAGTTACAAGCAACTGCCATGACTGTGGTTTAGTCTGTTGTTGAAACACCTTGTGGTTCTTCACACCTTATATGTGCCATCTGTTTGGACTGTTTCATTGTAGGTTTGTCTGGTGCAGGGAAGACCACAGTGAGCATGGCTTTGGAGGAGTACTTGGTTTGCCATGGTATACCATGTTACACTTTGGATGGTGACAATATTCGTCAAGGTCTCAATAAAAATCTTGGCTTTAGCCCTGAAGACAGAGAAGAGAATGTTCGACGCATTGCAGAGGTTGCTAAGCTGTTTGCAGATGCTGGCTTAGTGTGCATCACGAGTTTTATATCACCCTATACTCAGGTAAGTGGCAGTTAGTATTTTTTGAGAATATCATATGAAGCAAAGCATCCACTTTGAATGTTAACATGTTTTTAAGGCCAAATAGAAATAAAAATAATTGACTTAAAACATTTTGGTGATTGAGCTTTGGTAAAACCTGCCATTGGAAGATACAGAGTATATAACCAGGTTGTGGAACTCAGGCCAATTGCCACATTATTTCAGACTTGGTTTTTCAATTTTGTAAATTTGGTAAGTGACAGTTTCCAGGAACATTTAATTTTCTTTGCACATGTTCCTCTTTTTTAGAGACTGCAGCGATATTGAATCACTTGTTGGTATGTCTCTGACCAAGTCATGTTGCTTCTCACGCCAGGATTATTTTTCAGGATGGGCCATTGTACAAATTTGTGTGAGGAACAAGTTCCACAGAGGCTGCTTTGCCCCTTGCCTGGAAGGCACGTGGCTCCTTTTCTTTCTCTTTCCAGTTGACTTCTCTTTGTAGTCTGAGACTCAGATCATGGATCTTCCCTTTTGTGCCTTTCCCATCATTGACATTACAGACAGTGGCTTAACCCACTGGCCACACACTGGCCAAACTTCATTTTCAATGGTTTCAGTCTGAAGTGCTTGTGGAGTATGTAAGTGGAGGTGGTCATTAGGCCATTGGAAAATTGGTTCCAAATAGCAGGAAAGTTTTGTAGCATTACGAATCATTAACTCGAATGGTGTTGAATGCTAGATGAGATTGAGAATATACAGCAGTGCACAGAGTGAGGAGTGAGCCATGTATGGAAACCTAGTGGAATTAGCTCTTTGACCGAGGTATGTGATGGGGACCCTGAGATCCCAGAGAGTACACAGACCTTCAGTTAGCCTGGGCATGCAGGGAAGGCTTCCTGGAGGAGGTTAGACGGAGTTGTGCTTTGTGAGAGCATATGCCACTTTAAACACAAGAGAGTAGCGTGTTAATGTATTTCTGGCAGGTTGGATGACAAAAGAAGTAAGGCCTAACTGGGCAGGTATTAATTATTAGTCAGGCATTGTGTGTAGCGCTGAGAAGGCTGGGCTGTACATTGCGAGCTTCCTGGCTTGATTCTGGTGGGACATCTCTGAGGAGTTGCGTGAGTGGGTCAATTATTTGTCATTTGTTGTCTTGGGAACAGAGCATGACATGGCTGGCCAGAATGGTGGAAGGATGCTAAGATGTCTAGATGGGAGAAATGAGGTTGAGCTGGGGAGTAAGGAAGGAGGGCACACCAGGCTGGTAAAATATATAGCATGAGATCTGAGGGACTTTGCGGCCAATGAATGTAGAGGGGAAGGGACCCAGAACACCTCCTAGAATGTGGAGAAGGGAGAGTGGTGTCATCCCTGGATCTGGGCCATGAAAGCTTGGAAACAAGGAGAATTTTTTCAGTTTTGGTCATGTGAAGTTTGAGGCTCTTGTGAGATACCAGATAGGCATATTTAGGACGAAAGTGGCAAATGCATGTTTAATGTCAGGAGAGCTCAGAGTGAGCTGAAGTGCTGGGGCGTGTGTTGTAGCTCACACTCAGCAGGCATTCGGGTGACATGCTCACAGCCGGTGTGAGGTGAGTAGTGGGTGCAGCGTGGAGTGTGGCCAGCCCCAGAGTTGGAGGTGTGAGGAAGCAGCGGGAGCGGCGTGGGCAGTTTGGAGGAATGGCTGGGGAGTAGCAGTATAGGAGTCCGTAGAAGAGATAGTGCGCTGAGCAGCACAGTCCGGGAAAAAGGACCTACAAGTGAGGTAAAGGTTTTGTAGGACTGCTAAGCTTGTTTTTTATTTTTGTTTTTTTTTTTGGGGGGGGGTAGGTGAGGCATTTGTACTTATTTATTGCTCAGGAAAAGCCATTAGAGTGAGGAGGCTGAAGAGTTGACATGAAATAGAGAGAATGGACTGAAAAGATCCTGTAGGACACTAAAGGGGGAGAGATTTGGAAAATGCGAAAGGAGAAGATTGTCAAGATGTAGGCAGATATGTATGGCAGAGGGGGCAGTTGGAGAGTTTTTATGTCTCAGTGTTTTTGTTTTTTAATGTTTATTTTCATATATTTGAATGGTGACAGATTGATAAGTGTGACATTTTCTTTAAAAATTTTTAAAATTTATTTCTATTTTAAAGCATATTTTAGCACGAGAGAGAGAAAAGGAGAAACAGAGTTCTTACATCTGTTGGTTTACTCCTCATATATCTGCAAGGGCCAAAGCTGAGCTGATTGGAAACCGAAATCTAGGAGCTTCTTCCCAGTCTCCCTCCCATATGTGTGCAGGGTTCAGGGACTTGGGCCATTCGTTCTCTGCTGCTTTCCCGGACCATAAATGCAGAGCTGGATAGGAAGTGGAGCAGCTGGGACACAACCGGCACCCGTATGGGATGTTGGCGCGCTAACAGGTAGAGACTTAGCCTGTGGTGCCACTGTGCCCCCAGAGCCATCTTCTACTGTTAGCTCACTCCCCAACACCCACAACAGTTGAAACCGGGCCAGGCCCAGTCAGGATCACAGAACTCCATCCAGGTCTGTCCAGGTCTATCCTGGACAGGTGAGCCACCATCTGTTGCCTCCCAGGATATGTAGCAGGAAGCTGAATCAGAGGAGCAGGAGCTAAACCTGTTGAGTCACAAAATCTATGCTTGTGGGGAATCTAAGGGCAGGAATTTAGCCTAGCTGTTCAGATGCTTCCATCAGAGTACTTGAGTTTAGGTTCTTGGTTCTGCACCTGATTCCAGCTTCCTGCTAGTGCATATCCTGGAAAAGAGCAAATGATGGGTCAGGAATTTGAGTTGCTACCACCCCAGCGAGTGATCTGATTTGAGTTGTGGTTACTGGCTTTTTAACAGTGGCTTGGTCTCATTGTTACGGGCATTTGGGGAGTGAACCAGGATGGGAGCACTGTATGTTTTTCTTTCACTTTTCTTAAAAAAATAAAGAAATAAGCACTATGGTCATCTGGTGAGGGCAAACTAGGTAGGCATGGTTTGTCAGAGGGGCCGTGTGGAGGCTGACAGATGCTGAACTGTGGGGAAAGGAGGATGGACATTGCAGGGGTCAGCTTTGAAATGTTGGTGTGGTGGTGTCTCTCTCTCCCTTCCCTTTCCAGAGGCACCCCACCTCCCGGCTTTCTCTCCAGAGGCGCTTCCCCTTCCCTCTCCCTTCCCTGCTCAACTGGTCCCTTCGCAAATAAACTTTTCTGTCTGCAACAGATTCCCGGCTTTTTATTTCTATACTAAGCTGAGGAAAGAACCCACCGGGCATTTCTGATAACATATTTTCCCTGGCACCCAATGTGGGACGTGAAAAAAGAGACTTAGACGGGAGCCACGTGGCCCAACTCAACCGAGAGAAGACTTCACAAGTAGTCTTCAGACTCCAGGTGGCCTTGAATGTGCAAGCTTGCATGACAACCAGACAAACTTCTGCCATGGCAACTTGGATGACCCGGACCATCTCTCTGGATCCCACACCTCCAGGGGCCCCTTTACCCAAACGATGCCCTGATTCAGCAGGAATCAGCCAGAAGACATTGTTGCCCCTTACCCCTACAGAAGTAGGATATGGGATTTCAAGGGGGAGGTTCTGAAGCCATCCACGCCTGCTGAGTTCTTAGCCACACGTTCAGGTGGGCGGCACCAGCATTGCCCACCCATTTTCTAAGTAAGAGACCACCAATGGGGAACATCTTACCTATAGGTTCCCCATCCAACAAGGAGGGGTCAAGGAAAGCTTAAAATCCCAAGACCCTTCCTCAAACCTTTGGTGTCTCTCTTTCCCTCCCCTTCCGAGAGGCACCCCACCTCCCGGCTTCCTTTCCGGGGGTTCTTCCCCTTCCCTCTCACTTCCCTGCTCCCCTGTTCCCTTTGCAAATAAACTTTCCTGTCTGCAACAGAAAAAAAAAAAAAAAAAGAAATGTTGGTGTGACAGTTTGGTATGTGTGAGTGTGGAGCTTAACCTCAGGCACAGCAAGATGGGTGGCATCCTCCAGGGACCAGGTTTCAGTGAAGACCAGGAAGAAGAAAAGGTTGATGCACAAAGGAAGCTGTGTCCCAGAAGACAGGGTGCAGAAGGTGGAGACTGGGTGATGGGGTGGTGTCAGCACAAAGGTGGGGCTTGAGTGCTGTGCACAGCTGTGAAGGGTATGGGAATGCTGCCAAGGAGAAGCAGCCTAGGGATTTCACTAGGCAAAGGAATGAGCTAGCCTTCGGCTTCTCAAAGGGACCTGTGGTGTGGGATTGCTTTTCTGCCAGCTGAGGCTGAGGGTAAGCGCAGCAGTGGAAAGAGGCCTGGCCAGCTGGCTTTGGCTCAGATTCTCCTAGGAGTTAGGCAGGGGTGACGGACCCTTGTTCTGCCAAAGGCTACTGGAATATTTATGCCATCATTTGCAGGCCTTATGAAATGATACACTTAAAAATTTACTGAATTTTTGAATCCCCCCTTTCATGGACTTTCTATAACCAATAGGCTGGCTGCTCCCCACTCCTGATTTGGGGTGAAGGTTTTATACCACGACCTAGTGTTCTTCCAGCAATTCCTAATACCCGAGGCATGATTTTTAAAACTGTTATGGTGAATAAATTCTTGGATTTACTTGATTTTTTTTTCAGTTTCTACAAGTGTTATAAAGAGAAAGTTGTGTGTAATATATATTTTCCACTAACTGGTGGGGAACACTTTGACATGGGGTTGATGTTTGTCAAATGTCTTTGATATGTGGGGTCACATTTTGCTGTTTCTGTGTGTGTCTCTTCCTTTAGGATCGCAACAATGCAAGACAGATTCATGAAGGTGCAAGTTTACCTTTTTTTGAGGTATTCGTTGATGCTCCTTTGCATGTTTGTGAACAGAGGGATGTGAAAGGACTCTACAAAAAAGCCCGGGCAGGAGAAATTAAAGGTAAGTGTATTAGCATTTTGTCATGATTATCAAATAAGTACCTGGCACAGCTACTTAGAAAGGAAAAGGTTTATTTTGACTCATGACTTTGGGAGTCCACAGCACAAAGTCAAGTGAGGCTCATTGATGTGACTGTCCCTTGTTGCTGGAGGCTGGCCATGGTGGAGTGAGTGTGGAGGAAGGGTCCCTGGGTGAGCTGGGAAGAAGAGCATGGTTGGGCACAGCTAAGCTTTTATAATCTAGCCTCTTCTTAGGGATGGTCCCCAGTGCCTTAAGGACCTCCCACAGTACCACCACAATCGGGTTGTTTCCACCTACTTAGTACTCTTCACTTAGGCTTTGGTGTTTAACAGCTTTGTGAGTTTGGGAGTGAAGTCTTTCTCAAGCCATAGCAAGTAGAGAACACTGTTTTCTTTCTAGTTTCTCTCTCCTTAGACACTTATCTTCCCATACATGGGACTGGTCATCTTTTCTAAGAGACAGGAGTATTTAAGCAACTTGGAGTTGCTTGAAAGAAAATGGGTCTTTCTTTCTCTGCCATTCAGCCTCACAGGCTTAGCAGTAATACCTGGCACTGTGCCCTATGGGAGTGTTGTTGACCCTATCAGAACTCTACACACAAGATAAGAGATGTAGGGGACTTTGGAGGTTGCTGGAAACCTACCAGACACTCCTATGCATGGATTTGGTACTTGGCAGAGATTATTGCCAGCTGTTACCTCTTCTGCTGTTAATTCCAGTGAGATGGAGAGAACCCCATAGCTATTGGGAAAAATGCCAGAAAGATAAGATCTTGATGGCAAGAGTAATATGTTGTACTAACTTATAGCAGGTAGCTTGGAATGGTCTCCTGCTCATTCCATGTATGTTTGTTAAATTAGATTGTGTTAACATGTCACTGATTCTATGAAAATCTATGTGGCACACTGTTTTAGGTTTCCCAATCTGCTATCAGTTTCAACAGTGATAGAGTGTTAAACAATTACGGAGAAATGTGGTGTTCTTCCTTGTTGTTTTTGAAACCAGACATGTTTTGATCTTATAGCTATCTATTTTTTAAATGATTTTGTTTTTGAAAGGCTAAATAACAGGGAGAGAGACCTCCCATCTGCTGATACACTCCCAAGATGGGTCCAAGGCCAGGGCTCCGTCAGGCCGACGCCAGGAGACAGGAATTTTTGTGAGTTTCCCACATGGGTGCAGGGACCTAAGCACTAGATCCATTTGTGGCTACTTTCTCTGGTGCATATACAGGAAGCTGGATTGGAAGGGGAGCAGCTGAGATTTGAACCTAAGTCCATATGGGATACCAGCATTGCAGGCACCAGCTTAACCTGTTATGCCACAATGCTTGCACCCTTGTAGAGATTCTGATATTAATCTTAGTCTGTTAACAGAATGAAAGGACATGCTGGCATTGTAAGCAAAACTCAATGACAGACTACTCGGTCCTCTTTGTGTAGGGGTCAGTAACTTTTCTTTTGCCTTCCCAACAGGAAGTGTGTTAGCCTGTGACAGTCACAGAAACTCATTCAGCCATTCTGGCTGCTGGAGTTTGATGTTCCGTTTCTGGCTTTGAAGAGGAAAAGGTAGAACAGGAAGGGAAATGCTTGTTATTCTGGATTTTTAGGTATTTGGTCCCAGGAATTCCAGCAGCTAGAGCAAATTCCATTTGCACTGGTAACATCTAGTTCTGTGGGCAAGGCTGGCACCTTGGAGTGCCACCCTTGAATGGCCTAGCTTAGCCCATTAAATTGGCACTGGCACTATATATTTTTTCTTCCCAGGCTGCCTGACTGGGATGGTTTATGACACTGGGAAAAAAGCCAGGTTACCTCTATAACCTCATGTTATTCTTCATTGATAGACAGTTTTTAATTTTTATCTTTTTTTTGTATTGATATTTGGGACAGAATGGTGTGTTTACATCTCTAAAATGTAAACCTTTTATTTTAATTACAGCTGGTTCTGTTGTTTTTGTAAGGATGGACTGGGGAGGGAGGTAGGTTAGTTTGTCTTGCTAGAATAAGTTACCTGTGTGCAAAGACAATATCTTAAGCGTTTTTATGACTTTAAAATGTAGCACAGTGTATAGCCCAGAGCACAGTACCTATGACACACATAGTAAACGCTTGTGGAATTGGTGAAGAGGTGAAATGGGAGTGGGATCAAACACACTGATGCACATTGTCTTTTTGTGAGGTGTGTGTTTAGTTTTGGGGGGTGCAATAACTAATAAGACTGTGGCCAGAATGCCCTGGAGCGTGTACGGTTTGTATTCTATGAACTGCAATGATGTTTGTATTAGTCTGGCTCCTTTTTTACCTTCCCATTTGTTGGTTCTATCCCCTCAGTGGATGGTGATAAAATGTCTGCTCGCATTGATTTATTTTAGGTTTGCCAGGCTGCTTGAGTTTCTGATTATAAGGTGTTTATTTTTTAAGAAATCATTGACTAGTTGTCAGAATGGTGCTTAACAAGTTCCCTGACTATGTTGGTTCAGATCCCTCGCAGTAAACATTCAAGGGCAGAGAAGATTGCAAAAGCGAGGGGCCCTCTGGCCTTTCCCAACCTTTATCTGACATGTATTGGTTAGTGCGAATATCCCAGTGTCACCCATTCTGATACTTAGATTATTATGCGATTACTACTTCCCTAGCTATTTACTGTCCACTGTCCGCTTAAATATGACTATTTTCTCAGAGTGTACTTTGATTTTAATTATTTTGCAGGGGTCTGGAATGTCAGACCTGTGGGCTGACATAAAATCCATGAAATCATTTGGTTTGGTTCTTCCAAGGTAACCAAAGAGGGAACTTAAAACTTAATATATCAAAAGCTAAATTTTTTAAGTTACAAGAAGGGAACAAATTTCATTTATTTTACGTAGTTTTACAAGCATAGTTATACCTCCCATCTCATTGCTGTTTCTTCTTGTTTTTGCTTAATTTTTTACAATGGCATACTTTGAATTTTCTTGGTAATCACAGCTGAATACTGTACATAAAGAGTTCAGCAAGCAGTAAGTAGAAAAACCACTGTTCTTCAGGAGTATTGACAGGGCTATTCAATAATTAAAATATCAGTTTCATTCATGCATATTACCATTTAAAAATACTCTGAATGTTAATTACCATAAATCATGCAAAGCATTCCATTTGTCTTTTTGGGATTGATTTCACTAAGGATAATGGCCTCCAGTTGCAACCATTTTGTTTCAAAAGACATGATTTTATATTTTGGCAGAGCAGTATTCCATAGAATATATACCACATTTTCTTGAACTAGTTCAGTTGATGGGCATTGGGATTGATTATATATCTTTCCATTGTAAGTTGAGTTGCTACTCAGCTCTCATAAGCTGAGTTCATTTCATTTGGTTAAATTTCTAAAAGTTGGATGTCTGGGTCATAAGGTAATTTTATTTTCAGACTTGTGAGGAATCTGTGTATTATCTTTCATGATGGTTGTATTCCCACCAACATTGTAGAGTGATCATGTCCAGAATGTATTGCTGTGCATTTTCTGGCCATTCTTCCTGGGGTGAGGTGAAACATTGTGGGTTTTATTGGCATTTTCCTGGTGGATAATTATCCTGAGCATCTCTCATGTTCCTTTTAGCCATTTGTGTTTTGTCTCTTGGGAAATCTGTTCATATTCTTAACCCATTTCTTAACTGGCTTACTTGTTTTGTTGTTGTTGAGTTTCCTCAGCTGCTTATGCATTGTGGATATTAATACTTTATCAGATATAGATTGCAGATATTTTCTTTCATTCTGTCAATTGCTTCTTGGTTCAGTGCTTCCTTTGCTGTGCAGAATCTTCTTTAGTCTGATATAATCTCATTTTCCTGTTTTTGCCTGTGCTTCCCAGTCTTAGCAAAGTCTTCACCTATGCTAGCATCGCCAGGTTTACCTTATGTTTTCCTCTAATAATTGGATGATTTCAGATCTTAGATGAAGATCCCTGAATCATTGTGAGGTGAATTTTGTATGGGATATGTGTATTGTGATGCTTCCAGGTTTATTTTTGTTATTTAGGATTGCTTTAGATATTTGAGTTCTCGTGTGATTTCATATGAATTTTAGGATAAATTTTTTTTCCAGATCTGAGAATAATGTTGTTGGCAGCTTGATTGATATCATGTTGAATCTGTAAATTGATTTGAGCAGTATAGTCATTTTGAGATTACTTCTTTCAATCCATGAACATTGAAGATATTTTCATTTTTGTGTATTTATTAATGTTTTATAATTTTACTGTAGATGTTTTTCATGTCTTTAAATTTATCCCAAGGTATTTTAGTGTTTTTTTTTTTTAATAGCTGTTCTGAATGGGGCTGTTCTCAGCCATGGCATTGTCTGTGAATACAAAGGCAATTGATTTTAGAGTGTTGATTTTATGTCCCACAACTTTGCCAAAATCTTGTGAGTTTCAGTGATCTCTCAGTGGATACTTAGGGTTTCCCTATGTAGAGGAAATATAAATAGAAAATTTCTTCATTTTTCCATTGGTGCTCTATGTAAGTTCTTGTTTTTAATTATTGTAAGACTTCCAGAACTATACTGAGTAGTAATGGTGAGAGTAGGAATTCTTGGTTAGTTCCAGATCCTGGAGGACTGCTTCCAGTTTTTCTCCATTCAGTATGCTGCTGGCTGTGGGTTTGTTGTATGTGAACTTGGCTATGCCATGAGTCTTATATACACAATTTGGCTTAGATTTTTTATCATGAGCGGTATTGTATTTTATCAAATGCTTTCTCTGCATGTATTTAAATCATCATATAGTTTTCATTCTTCAGTTTGTTAATGTGAGATCACATCTCTTGATTTGTGTAGGTTGTACTAGAGATAAATCCCGCTTGGTCTGGGTGAATGATCTTTCTGGTGTGTTGTTGGACTTGATTAGATAGCAGTTTGTTGAGAAATTTTGCATGTATGTTCATTAGGGGTGCTGGCCTGTGGTTCTCTCTGGATATTCCAGAGAGCTTGAGAGGATTCTTTTCTTTTCAGTTATTTTGGATAGTTTGAGAAGAATCTGAGTTGTTCTTGAAAAGTCTGGTAGGATTCAACAGTGAAGCCATGCATTCCTAGGCTTTTCATTGTTGAGGGGATTTTCCTTAGATTCACTACTTCTCATGATTACTGGTCTGTTTAGGTTTTCTGTGTCTTCATGACTTGATTTTAGTAGGTTATATGTGTCCAGAAATCTATCCATTTTTCCTGGGTTTTCTAATTTGTTGTTATATAGCTATTTCTAATTATTCCTGATGATTTCTATTTCTGTGATAGAGATTGTAACATTTCCTTTTTGAGCTTTGATTTTTTTTTGCCCCCCCCCCCTTTTGGCTAGTTGGGCCAATGATCTACCAATTTGTTTATTTTTTCAAAAACTTAGCTCTTTACTTCACTTTTATGTCATCGTGCTGCACATCAGCATTTTCTTGGGAGCAAGGCTGTACCTAGGCCAGTGGAATCAGAATCTTGTGAGATTAGACCCTGGCTTCTCCAGTGTGTAGCCACAATTGAGAGCCACAGGTTAACAACCAGTGCTCTGATCAGAATCATTCCCCACCTCCTTTTCCCCCCAACTAATCTCTTGCAAACTGTTTCTAAATACTGTTGGGAATATTGAAAATGCAAACATTCATTTTTATGTTCTGGACTCCAGGTGATGTTTAAAAATAATGACATTAAGTGGGCTATAGACTTGCACACGTGAGTATTCTAGGACTGTTTTGATAACTATAATTTGTAATAGTAATTACCTAAAATTCATATTTTCTGCTTAAACCCAAGAATGATCTAAGCTTTGTAAGATATACAGGACTTATGTGTATGGTAACGTCGTAACGTCAGAGGGTATAGGATATGGACATATTTGAGGTGGTATCTTGTGTTTCGCTTGAGTTCACAGTAGTTAATTTGTTTTGCTTTGACACTTGATTTCTGATGGCACAAGCCACCGGTCGTTCTCCAGTTTGGCCCTGAATAATCATTGTGAATGTGAAGGATGCACTGAGTTAGTGTTGGTGTTTGCCTTGATGGGGAAAGACCTTCAAATCCCTGCCCCCCCCCCCCCCCACGTTGGCATGAGTGTGTGTGAGGAGTTACGTATGCGTGGACTCTTCCTGTGGAGAAATTGAGGTGTTCAGGATTGCCTGGTTTCTTTTCCAACAGTTTAGGCTTTTGCTTAAGAGAAAAAAGTACAGTGGAACTGCCTTTGGGGAATCTATATTTATACATTTCCCTCCTTGTTAAAGCTTCTTTTGTGATCCCCAGATTAGTGTTCTTGGTTCTTTTGTGGTCATGTGCAGACAGGTTAAAGGAGTCACCCAATATACCTGTTTCCCAGTTGAAGTCAACACAAATGTTTCCTTCTCATCCTGTGAACAAGTGTGCTGTTTCAGCCTGTGTAGTGCTGTGTTTTCGTGTGCAATTTTATCCTTTCGTGGGTGCTTCTGCTATGTAAATAACCCTTGGTGTTGACAATGCTGTTAACCATTTCCAAGTGTAAGAAGGCTGTGGTGTGCCTTTCAGGGAAAATACCTATGCTGGATAAACTTCATCTAGGTATATTACAGTGCTGCTGTCTTTGAGCTCAGTGCAGGCCGATCAGTAATATATGTTAAGTAATGTGTTTTTAAACAAGAAGCACAAATAAAAAACTGAAATAATTCATTAGTTGACAAACACATTGTGGCAGGTTAGCAGGAACCCAATCTTGTCTTCTGCTAAGGAAGTGTTTAGTGTTGTCTAGTTGAGTGTTGTGGCAAATTTATTCAGTCTAACTACGGTGAATGGTGAGAATCAACCGCACAGGTTTAAAGAAGAAACACAGTTTAATCGTAAATCTCTCCAGAAGTTTTATATTATAACCTTGTAGCTTAGTAGGGCATATCAGAGGAATTGATTTCAGTGTAGCGAATTTATGTTAATTTTCATCTTCCTCTGTTTTTTATACCTTTGAAAGGTTTCACTGGGATTGATTCTGAATATGAAAAGCCAGAAGCCCCTGAATTGGTGCTGAAAACAGACTCCTGTGATGTGAATGACTGTGTCCAGCAAGTTGTGGAACTTCTACAAGAAAGGGTAAGAGAGTAAAAGAATAAAACTCAGAAAAATTATGTCCATCTCAAACTTTCCTCTCTAAAAAAGCAAACTGGTGGTTAATATCAAATGGTGCTTGTAATTTACATCCTTTGTAGTGCTAACACCTTTCTCTCCATCTGTGTATATGACTGTGTTAGGTCTTGTGGTAGATAACATACACATATGCTACTTTAAAAATCTTAATTAATGTAAATGTTAGGAATCCTGGGAGTCTGTCTTTATCAGTAATTTTGCCACACAAATGACTTATTAGAGAAAATATAACATGATCATTCAGCCCTATAAATTGGCCGTATTGTAGTTTTCAAGGTGACATTCCCAGTGCAGTTAACTTCTCCAAGGCATTTAGAAATGTTTTCTCTGTCATGACATGATGGCACCCTTGTGGTTAGATTTCAGAAAGGGACCCTGTGGAGGGTAGTGTCCTACATCAGTGCATAAAGAGGCTCGATGTTGTCCAGAGTGTGCAGACCCACTAGCAGGTGCATGATCTACCTGAGCATCATCAGTGGTTCATCTCATTTGGTCTTTTTTGTAAAACAGTGCTCATCTCTGTGGAAATGCTCTATCTGTTCATGTGTGTTGTCTACTTTTCTGCTAGTTCCTTTAGCATATTAATCATAGTTAAGCCTTTGCGTGAAGGCTTAGATTCTGGATTCTTGGTTCTGGATTAATTCTGTTTCTGGTTTTATGGACTTGAGTGTTATCTCAAGAGTTATCTCTTGAGTCAGTGGTTTTCTTTTCTCCCCCCATCCCCTAAGATTTCCTTATTTATTATTTGAGAGGCAGAGTGACTTATGGTGGGGAGGGGATGAAGAATGTCTTCTAATGACTGTAGCAGCCAGGTCTGGGCCAGGCCCAGCCGGGAACTAAGAAATTCCATCCTGATGTCCAAGTTTGGTGGCAGGAGTCCAGTACACCTGTGCTTTATAGGTGCATTAACAGAAAGTTGGAAAGGCAGAGCAACAGGGATTCGAATCGGCACTCTGATATGAGATGCCCTCTGATGTATGTCCCATGTGGTAGCTTAATGTGCCCAGGATGCAATGCTAGCCCCTTGTGAGTCTGTATGTAATGCTGGACATTGTGTCTATTTGTACACTGGGGATGCCTTTTTGCTGCTGCTCTGTTAATGTAGTGGGCCAGTCTGATCTAATCAACCCAGGTGGATTTTGGTGTCCTTTTTTGTAGTTCCTTCTGTTGTTGTACACGCATGCTCTGAATTTTTTCACTTCTGCCTTGTACTTAGTACAGACCAGGCCCTTGGGGAGGGGTTGGTGATTTCTCAGTGTTCCTACACTGTCCTTGAATGACTGAACCACCAAAGGCACCTGTCTCCACGTCCTTAATCTTTAGGCAGAAAACCTGTGGTTGCTTCTTAGTGTTGCGCTCTCGATCGGGTGGGGGGGAAGTGTGTGTGCTGTGTGGTGCTTGGTTTCTCTGGTTCAGCTTCAGTCTTGGACCTTGTGCTCTGAGTCCTGAGTGGCTGGGTTTGTCCTTACTGTTCCTTCTCTTCTGCACCTGGGCAGATGGGAGGGTAAGGTTTCTGCTTCTCATGTGCCTTTGCATGCTTGTGCTCATGGATGACCCTGAGCCCAGACAGTCTCCCTGCCTTCCTGCATTTGCTGCTGCCCGTTTCCTGTTGTCTCTCTCTGGGAGGGTTTGCTGCCCTTGTCCGCAGGTCAGAGCTCTGCAGAGAGGAGCAAAGGGCTTTGGGAGTGGGCCAAGCACACCAGTGCATTGGCCTCCCTTGTTAGTCTCCAGACCTGCCCCTGATCTGGGCTCTGTTTGTTGCCCCGCTGTATTTGGGGGTCCCAGCTACACTAACCACTCTGGTCTGCACTCAGCCTTCAGAAGTCGAAAGGACAGTTGACCTGCTTTCTTGTTATCTGCCTTATCTTCATGTGTTTCAAAGGGAAAAGGTTCATTTGTCTCATCTTTTGTTCGTGAGACTTTGCCCTCTGGAAAAGTAGTTTGGCTTATGCCATAGGGCCTCAGTTCTGTCGTGGCCTCAAGACAGTGCATGGTTCTGTAGATTAGCTGTCTCTTCTCTTCTCTTCTGAAATTCTGCATTAAAAAAAAAAAAAGATCTGTTATAGTTGAAAGGCAGAGTTAAAGAGAGAAGGAGGGGGAAAGAAAGATTGACTGGTTTTTCTATCTGCGGATTTACTCCAGGAGACTTTTCTGGGTCTCCCTGGTGGATGTGGTGGCCCAAGCACTAGGCTATGTTACGCTGCTTCTCTAGACAATTAACAGGGAACCGAACTGTGCTGCAAACAGAGCATCTGGGACTTGGGCTGGCTCCCACAACAATGTTGGTGTTGCAGGTGTCAGCTTAACCCTCTGCCATAACATTCACATCATTGTTGTGAGTCAGAAACGTCTTCAACCTATCAAGGAAAATGAGTTTATTATGGAGGAGGGTGGCAACTGTCTCATAGGATAGCACACGAAGGGGAAGGCAAAACAGGGTTTTTATAGTTAAAGTGAATATGCAAAAAGTCAGGAAAAGGGTGGTCACTGGTAGCAACCTGGTTTTTTTTTTTTTTTTTTTTTTTTTGAAAGTGGGATATACAGAGAGGGGGAGAGAGAGAGAAGATCTTTCATTCAATAATTCACTCCCCAAGTGGCCCATAACGGCTAGAGCTGAAGCCAGGAACCCAGAGCCTCTTCAGGGTCTCCTGTGTGGGTACAGGGTCCCAAGGCTGTCCTTGACTGCTTTCCCAGACCACAAGCAGGGAGCTCGATGAGAAGCAGCATGGCTGAGATTAGAACTTGCACCCATATGGGATCCTGGTGTGTGCAAGACGAGGACTTTAGCTGCTAGGCTACCACGCTGGGCCCAGCAATCTGTTATTTCTAAGAGCAATAACATCTCAAGCAGACAAAGCATAAGTTAGCGAGGTCAGCATGCCCTCAGATAGAGGGTAATATTAAACAAGCCGGATCCTTTTGGTCTTCCCGGAGCCTCAGATGAACTGGCACCTTTACAGAGTTCATGATTTATCCTGTTGTTGTTTGTTTTAACTGATCCATATCACATTATTTACTTATTCATTTATTTATTTAAAATTTTAGTTTCTATTTGAAAGGCAGAGAGAGTGAGAGAATGTTATTTTTCTGCTGGTTCATTGCACATATGCGTGCAATGCCTAGGGCTGATTTAGCCCAAAATCAGGAGCCTGGGACTCCATCTGTGTCTCCCATGTTGATGGCAAGATCCCAAACACTTGGGACATGTTTTACTGCTTTCCCAGATGCATTATCTGGGAGTAGATTGGAAATGGAGCTGCCAGGACCTAACCTGGTACTCAAGTGGTATGCCTGTGTCACATATGGCAGCCCACTGGGCCACCATACTGGCCTGTACATAGTTTCATTTTGTTAATCTTGATTATTTTTAATATCTGTTCTGTACAAAATCCCAGAAAAGGATGTAATGTTATGGGGCACATGAATGGCTGAAGCCATTTTATGAACTGCAGGTGATTCTAGATAGTTGAGGCATGTGTAAAGGACTGTTAACCTTAGTGCGGGATGGGTGCTGCAGGTGTCTCCTTCCTCGCTTCCTTTATTTCATTTCCTGATCACTTCTTTGGAATCCTACTTAGAGTAGTATCCTCTGGTTATAACACTTAACTGCATGCTAGCGTTCTCTCTCTTTTTCTCCCTCTCTCGTCTTCCCTCACTCTTGCTTTTTTCTCTCTTGCTGTTGCTTGTGTTAGTTTCTATAGCTGTAATTAAAGCCTTCATAAACTAATGGCTAATCTGAGTTTCCTCCTTTTTGTTCAGGTTTTGATCTCTGTTTTGTCTGATAAAGAGTCTGATTATTGGGCCATTTTAGTCAATGTTTGAAAAAAGAAGACAAAATAAGAAACTAACATTTCCTGAGTACCTATTATAAAGGTATATAAATGTAGGACTTCATGTCTTATATAGCGGTTTGTTCTGATTGCTAAAATCTGGGGCAGAGTGGCCTTCTTCCTGATTTAGTTTCTAACCTCATTCACCTGATTTACCCTGGTTGTTTTCCTAGTGACTTTGTGCTAAGTACTTTCTTTGTATTAATTTTGTTTATGTAGTGAACTTATAAACTTTCAAAGAAGTGAAGAAGCTTGCTCATAGACTTCTTGGGAATCTACACCTAGCATCCCCTAGTCAGTACATCTCCTTCCTGGTTAGTACTGGATTTCCAGCAGGTGAAGGTACTTGCCTCATATGGCTCACCTGGTTAGTGTTGGATTTGACCATGGTTCCATTTGATTCTGCGGCCCACATTCTGATCTCTCCACGACATTGCCCTTATTAACATTGAGACTATTTCCATTTCTACTTTTTTCTGAAGATGAATCTTCTCTCTGACCTCCTTTTGCTTTCCTTGATGTGTTGTTGCATCAGTGTAATTAGAATTAAGGAATGGAGAGGAGTGGTCATTTCACTGATTTTTCAGAAATGTACTCGGGAGTACTGATAAAGGGCTTCAGAGCAGCTCCCAGACAGCACTAACTGGGTTAGACTGTTTACTGTGGGTCTTGATTTGCTTAATGTTGCTGTAGCATGGGCTTCCGAACATCTGGCCTATGGCTCTGTAAGGGCAAAAAATTATTTCATTTGACCCTGGTGTGGCAACACAGGTGACAGTCAAAGAAATCTGTAGCAGGCTAATTTTTAAGTAGGCAATTTTGTTTCGTCTGAGCATGCTGTTATAATTGTCCAAACATCCTTGGCAGGAAAAAAAAATTCTCACCCCTGCTCTAGCAGTGTCCCCAACACTGGGTACCTTATAAAGGAAGTAGGGTCAAGTTTAGGGGCTGCAAGTCCAACATCATGTGGCCCTGTATTCTTATCCCCTAGTGAAGACCCAACTGTAATACACCACAGCTGAGAAGAAGCAAGGGATGGGACCCGGGCTGCAGGGGCCTGGCCATGATGTGGGGAGCTCCGCATCTTCTTTTTCAAGATTTATTGGAAAGATAGAT